GGGGGGGGGGGGGGGGGGGGGGGGGGGGGGGGGGGGGGGGGGGGGCAGACAGAGAGAGGTCTTGAGCTACTACAACATCCTCTCGTGTATCGCACATGCACAGATCTCGAGCTACAGCATCTCTTGTGGATGGAAAAGACAGAAATCTCTCGAGCAAATACAACGTCTCGTGTGTGTCCAAGAGACAGGGATCTTGAGCTACATCATCTCTCAATGTATCAAACAACCCGGGATCCGGAGGTACCACATAATTTGTGCAAAAAAAAGACCTAAGCGTCTCGAGCTCCCACATCTCTTGTGCAGCAAAGCACATCAAGACCAGCGGCGGGGAGAATATCGGACGACCTCGGGATAAGTTGCCTCACCACGTCGACAACCGCAATGCACATCCGAAAAAACAACAAAGTTCACGTTTCTAGTCGGTCGAAATGTACCTTTTGTGATACTTGTTCTTCCAAAATGTGATTCCTACATGTACACATGGATGTACACCGAAAAATATGTGTCAGGCCAGGAAGCCATAACTGGGTTCTCTGCAGCTAGCTTGCTACAAGCGCCGTAGGGTCAACAACAAGGGGTGATCAAGAGACACGAACTATGATTTTACTCAACCTTGTAATCTCCGCCTCGACCTCTTGGCTAATACTTGCATATTTATACGTTACCGTGTCATGTCATTGGTGATAAGCGACGGACGGTACTGTTGTAGCAACGATGATGTTAACAATACTCGCCTCAGCACAGGGCGTGAGTAGGCTGAGCTGTGAGCTTTTGAGCAAGATGGACCTGCGGGCGTGATAACAGCGGCAGCGCGGCAGCAGCAGCGGCGGCGGCAAGGGCAAGGGCAAGGGCAAGGGCAACGACATGGCCGTAATTACAACAAATATGGTCATGAATGTACCCTTGCTTGGTAGATAGCTTATGACCACGGAAGGCGTAAGTTGGACGGGTGTTAAAAGTTACTGAGAAGAGACCCTTTCACGAACGGTTTGCAATACCAAAACAGCAACGGCAACATCATCATCATTATCGACAACGACAACAACGGCAGCAACGACAACGACAACACCACAATAGCAACAGACAGCAACGGCAACGGCAACGGCAAAGGCAACGGCAACAACAGCAACGACAGCAATAATAGCGAAAGACGAGCGCACCTCTCTAGCAGAAGACAAGATACCAGGGTGACGATGTTCTCGTGGCTGAGGCACTGGAAGAGCGGCTCGAAGGGGACCGAGCCCCACGCCACCGGCTTGTTGGGCGGGGGGCACGCGAACGTGATTATCGTGTTGCCCATATTGTACAGCACCTTCGAGGGGAGAAAGAGGGGGGGGGAGGGAGGCATGAAGGGGGCATTTCAAAGCGGAGACATGACCAAATTGCGCCGATGCACGCAAGTGTACAGCGGGGGAAAACAGCAACAAGAGTGCTGCGATTCCTCCCAAGGTTAACCAAGGAGATCGGCATAGTCCAGCAGTCGACGATAACACTTACACATGGAGTAACTAATACTTTCTACACCATAAACAGCACAACAAAAAACGACAAAACATGGACAACGAAGACGACAACGGCAACAAGAACAACAAGAACAACAACAGCAACAACAAGGACAAGAACAAGAATAAGAACAAGAACAGCATCAACATCATCAACATCATAATCAACAAGAACAACAAGAACAACAAGAACAACAACAAGAACAGCAACAAGATCATCATCAACAACAACAACAACAACAACAACTGTTGGTCACTCCACGGCACTCACCTCGACTCTACCGGGCGAAGGCGTCGGAACTTCCAGCAGAAAGTTTCCGACATACCTCTCCAAAGGTATCTGGAAAGGAGACAGCGATATCCGATAAAGGTTTAGAAGCCACTCCCGGAACGGCCCGAAGTAGGGCCATGTCGACAGCAGGCAGAGGCACTTCGGTGCGTAGACCTCACGCTCGGGGTCCAAGGTGGCCTGGCAAGCAAGGCGTGACATACAAAGGGAAGGAAGACACGGAGAAGGCAATGAAAAAGGCAACGAAAAAGCGATGACAAAAGCGACCATGGGGGGGGTGGGCAAGGTGAAGGAAACAGGAAGGCCGGCAGTTGGTCGAAAGCACAACGGTAGCTGGAACCGCGGTCATGGTACCAAAGCACACAAATGAAAGGATTTCGGCACGGCATTGTGCAAAATAACATGCTGTACCACAGCAGATTGTTTAGAACGGTGGCGCTTCGGGCAAGCGGAGGACTAGGGTGGTGCACGCCCTTACATGACGTGCTTCTAGGCACACACAAGCCATGTACATGGCATACATGCAATCACCCCGTCACCATGCCATAGGGTGTATGTAAGGTAGGATGTGACTCCGCCTTCGGTCCTTGCGAACAACGTGGAATAAACCTTGCGAGTATATCAGGAGCTCACAAGGGTCACATCTGCTCAGGAGACATTTCATTTGTTCATTTCCTACACACCCTGGCTAATGCCGGGTACTAGTAAGGATCACACCTTCTCACATTTCGACATTTCGTATACATGCTGTTTGAACGGTCTTATCGACTACAAAGGGGCTCCGTTGTGGCCCCCACGCGGGGAGGGGCGTAGTCCTCGTCCTCCTCTTACTCTCACTGCCATGCTTCCGGTCGCTCAAACAACGTCTCAGCGCTACTCGCAACAATTTCTTTCTACTGAACCTGTGCAAACTCTCTACTCGCAATATCACTTCTACTGAACCAGGGCACACTCTGTCACAAAGGGTGATACATTCCGAAGGCTGTCATACACCCTTTCTTGGGGGCAACGCAAACGTGTGCGGCGGAACCTACCAAGGGTTCCGTGGCATTGGTCTCCCCCCCCACCGCCCGCGAAGCCGCCTTGTTGTGGGCGTCCACCAGCCCCTGCAGTTCTACCCGATGTCGCGTTCCCAACGGCTGAGATGGATTTGGGTTGGCACGGGAGGGCATTAAACACACGGCGAGAAATGAGGGGGTTGGTTGACTCACGGGCAGTCATTTTCAGCAGTGCCAGTCTAGATGTTATATAGCGAGGGGGTCTGATGACCGTCCTTGTTCCTCTTCTTTTGTGTATGAAATAACTACGAAGTACATTGCACCACCATGTTCCATGTTTGAAAGAGAGAGGGAGAGAGACAGACAGAGAGAGAGAGAGAGCCCGGTACGTATGCGTAGGACGAGCGTGCCGATGGGGACTTTCATTGGGCATCATACAGCAGTGCTTGGGGGTGGACAGCACCAAAAGTCGATCGATCACCCCAGATCAGCTACGACGTTTCGATACACCTACAGATATAGAGAGGGTAGGACACCACTAAAAACACCCCATCTCAGCAGCCAAGACCACAGTTACCGTTTCATGTCTTGATATGCGTTGGTCCTTCCTCGACTGACGCCGCATGTACGGATTCTCACACGACCAAAAAACAAAAAAAGGTGTGTGTATGCATATGTGTGCTCATGTAAACGCATGCCGTGCCGTAGTCGTTAGACCATAGACCTCGCACCCCTACAATACCGCGTCAAAGGAGCGACTTGTACGCCGACCCANGCGAGTCGCATGAAGGGTGCGCTGCATCCTGCTAAGGGTTTTCGGTCTTGTGCTTACTTCCTTGCGTACGGATGGCAGCTGCGTATGACTTAATTTACTTTCTGGTGCTTTCACTTCCTGAGACAGTTTTAAGCACTGTGTAACTGCCCCGAGGGTGCTTGACCGTTTTAACACAACGTGGTGCGATCATCCCCCTTGCACGGAGTGAGGGTTCTCGACCCCGCACAACATGATCTACTCGACCACCAGTAATGGTTACCGCCAAAAAAAAACGGAGGTAAAACAAAAAAGACGGTAACCTGGTTGCCGAGTTTACGAAGTGAATTGGCTTGTTTTACAACGTCGTTGCCAAGCGACGAAACCCCATCCCGCTGGCAAACACCG